GACCCCCTGTGTGGGGAGCTCTGAAACATGAGGGCTCATGTCAGGAAGGCCGTACACTGTGCGGCCTGAAACCCCACGACCACAGCATGTGGAAGCTCATCCTTCAGGAAAGCCAGAGGCTAGAAACCTGACAGACCCACAATATGGGGCTACCTCGAAAAAGGTCTAATGAGACCTAAAACCACCAGTTGAGGGAGATAGCTTGAACAAGGGAAGTGCCTGTCGTAATGTATTGCGACAAAGACACATCTAGAGTGGGACCCAAAGTGAAGAACCGGAGTCTGAACCACATAAGAAGGGACCGAAGCATACTGCGCGTGACCCTCACCATAAGAAATGGATTTTAAAAAAGTGCACAAGACATCTCGTCGGGTGACTTATCACAATAATAGGTGAAGTATGGGTTTGTGTACTTCACTCTGAATTCAGGAAGGCCTGTTGAGGCCTGTAACCTAGCGACCACAGTGTGTGGGAGCTCATGGCCAGGAAGGCCTGGTAAGGCCTGTAACCTGGCGACCACAGTATGCGGGAGCTCGTAACCTGGCGACCACAGTATGTGGGAGCTCATAACCAGGAAGGCCTAGTGAGGCCTGCAACCTGGCGACCACAGTGTGTGGGAGCTCGTGACCAGGAAGGCCTGGTAAGGCCTGTAACCTGGCGACCACATCCGGTGGGAGCTCGTACTCAGGAAGGTCAGGGAGACCCAGCCTGGTGTACCTGAAAAACCACACCAAGTGGGAGCAACTTCCAGAAGTTAGCTCTTAAGAACTCTTAAAGTGGGACCCGAGGAAAGAGCGGGGTCTGAGCCACATAAGAAGGGACCGAAGCATACCACGCGTGACCCTCACCATAAGGAATGGATTTTAAAAAGTGCACAAGACATCTTGTCGGGTGACTTACCACAATAATAGGTGAAGTATGGGTTTGTGTACTTCACTCTGAATTCAGGAAGGCCTGGTGAGGCCTGTAACCCAGCAACCACAATATGTGGGAGCTCATAACCAGGAAGGCCTGTTGAGGCCTGTAACCTGCCGACCACAGTGTGTGGGAGCTCATGACCAGGAAGGCCTGGTAAGGCCTGTAACCTGGTGACCACATTGGGTGGGAGCTCGTACTCAGGAAGGTCAGTGAGACCCAGCCTGGTGACCACAACCTGTGGGAGCTTACTCCACCAAGTGGAGGCTACTTCTTCCAGAAGTTAGCCAGAGAAGGGCATCCCTGTAGCCTACTTAAGTGACAGGACGCCTCTTAAAGTGGGACCCAAGGGAAGACCGGGGTCTGGCCCACATAAGAAGGGACCGAAGCATACCGCGCGTGACCCTTACCATACGAAATGGATTTTAGAAAGTACACAAGACATCCCGTCATGTGATTTACCACAATAATAGGTGAAGTATGGGTTCGTGTACTTCACTCTGAATTCAGGAAGGCCGAACTTGAGGCCTGTAACCTGGCAGCCACAACAAGTGGGAACCCATAATCAGGAAGGCCGAACTTGAGGCCTGTAACCTGGCAGCCACAACAAGTGGGAACCCATAATCAGGAAGGCCTGACAAGGCCCAACACCCGATAGTCCCAATGCATGGGGAGCTCACATTCAGGAAGGCCGCTGAGGCCTGCAGCCTGACATGTGAAGACTCACCACTACAACTTAGCGACCACGAAAAGTGGGGGTTTCACATTCAGGAAGGCCTGGTGAAGCCTGCAACCTGACATGTGACAACTCATAACCAGGAAGGCCAATGAAGCCTGAAGCCTGGTGACCACAGAGTGGGAGCAAAGTGCTCAGGAAAGGTGGTGAGGCTGTAGTCTGGCTACCGCAGCATGTGGGAGCCCACATTCAGGAAGGCTGGTGAGGCCTGTAAACTGACTACCACAGTATGTGGGAACTCATAACCAGGAAGGCCCCTTTGAGGCCTGTAACCTAGCGACCACAATGTGTGGGAGCTCATAACCAGGAAGGCCTGGTGAGGCCTGTAACCTGGCAACCACAGAAAGTGGGAGCTCATAACCAGGAAGGCCTGGTGAGGCCTGTAACCTAGCGACCACAATAAGTGGGAGCTCATAACCAGGAAGGCCTGGTGAGGCCTGTAACCCGGCAACCACAGTATGTGGGAACTAGAACCAGGAAGGCCCCTTTGAGGCCTGTAACGTAGCGACCACAATGTGTGGGAGCTCATAACCAGGAAGGCCTAGTGAGGCCTGTAACCTGGCGACCACAGTATGTGGGAGCTCATAACCAGGAAGGCCTGGTGAGGCCTGTAACCTGGCGACCACAAAGTGTGGGAGCTCATAACCAGGAAGGCCTGGTGAGGCCTTTAACCTGGCGACCACAGTATGTGAGAGCTCGTATCCTGGTGACCACAGTATGTGGGAGCTCATAACCAGGAAGGCCTGGTGAGGCCTGTAACCCAGCGACCACAGCATGTGGGAGCTCATAACCAGGAAGGCCTGGTGAGGCCTGTAACCTGGCGACCACAATAAGTGGGAGCTCATAACCAGGAAGGCCTGGTGAGGCCTGTAACCCGGCAACCACAGTATGTGGGAACTATAACCAGGAAGGCCCCTTTGAGGCCTGTAACGTAGCGACCACAATGTGTGGGAGCTCATAACCAGGAAGGCCTAGTGAGGCCTGTAACCTGGCGACCACAGTATGTGGGAGCTCATAACCAGGAAGGCCTGGTGAGGCCTGTAACCTGGCGACCACAGTATGTGGGAGCTCATAACCAGGAAGGCCTGGTGAGGCCTTTAACCTGGCGACCACAGTATGTGAGAGCTCGTATCCTGGTGACCACAGTATGTGGGAGCTCATAACCAGGAAGGCCTGGTGAAGCCTGTAACCCAGCGACCACAGCATGTGGGAGCTTATAACCAGGAAGGCCTGGTGAGGCCTGTAACCTGGCGACCACAATAAGTGGGAGCTCATAACCAGGAAGGCCTGGTGAGGCCTGTAACCTGGCGACCACAATAAGTGGGAGCTCATAACCAGGAAGGCCTGGTGAGGCCTGTAACCCGGCAACCACAGTATGTGGGAACTATAACCAGGAAGGCCCCTTTGAGGCCTGTAACGTAGCGACCACAATGTGTGGGAGCTCATAACCAGGAAGGCCTAGTGAGGCCTGTAACCTGGCGACCACAGTATGTGGGAGCTCATAACCAGGAAGGCCTGGTGAGGCCTGTAACCTGGCGACCACAGTATGTGGGAGCTCATAACCAGGAAGGCCTGGTGAGGCTTGTAACCTGGCGACCACAGTATATGGGAGCTCATAACCAGGAAGGCCTGGTGAGGCCTGTAACCTGGCAACCACAATGTATGGGAGCTCATAACCAGGAAGGCCTGGTGAGCCTTTAACCTGGCGACCACAGTATGTGGGAGCTCATAACCAGGAAGGCCTGGTGAAGCCTGTAACCCAGCGACCACAGCATGTGGGAGCTCATAACCAGGAAGGCCTGGTGAGGCCTGTAACCTGGCGACCACAATCAGTGGGAGCTCATAACCAGGAAGGCCTGGTGAGGCCTGTAACCCGGCAACCACAATAAGTGGGAGCTCATAACCAGGAAGGCCTGGTGAGGCCTGTAACCTGGCGACCACAATAAGCAGCTTGGATGACAGGGTCAGAGCTCTTAGTGAAGAGGACCAACCAGAGACGAGATAGTTAGCCAACGTCTCGTCCACTGGCGGCATCGACACATATCCGTGCTCCACGGCTCCCTCCACAGCAGCGAAACTAGCCCGCTGATGCAGATAGAGACGTGAGGAGAACGGATTCTTCCATACCCTCTCAATCCCAGCGTGGAGATCAGAAAGGAATGGAAGGCTCATCCGGGCTGGTGGCTTATGGGTGGGGAGGAACCAGCCATCCAAAATACCATGAGCGGGTTCCTCCCAGACGCGCCTCCACTGCAACTGCAATCTGTCTGTGGCGCGCCCCATAATGTCAACCAGTTCAGCGTACACTGGGCAGGAGGGCTGAAATGGTTCGGTCTCAACCAAACTGACATCCTTTTCTATATATATATATATATATATATATATATATATATATATATATATATATATATTACATATTACAGCCAACTCCTGCCCTGCCCAAACAGAACAGTTACAGATTCACCAAAGAGAGAAAGCGCTCATTTTCTCTCTTTTTAGATGTTCAGCGTTAATCTGTAACTCACCTTCGTCAGCTGGTAGATCATCCGCGAGGTTAACGCCCCTCTCCCGATAATCTGCCAGCTCCATCTGAAAGCTCCACGAACTCAACCGCCACTGAGCCCCAGCCCGAGCGGGAACCGGAACCGCGGGGTTCAGATGCCGCGCCCACTTCCTTCGAGAAGTGGGTCAGACGAGAGCAGAGAGTTCTGAAAGGAAAACTCTCAGTTCGCGGAAAAAACTCCCTCGAGAGCTTCCCGCGAATGCTCTTCTCTCAGGCAGAACACGCACAGATCGTGTGAATCCTCCGGTGTCAAATATCTGGACACAAGTCGGCACACTCGCGCAAAGTGTTTCTCCACGTCTCTGCGCGCTTAATCGTTGATACTATCACACAGACAAACAGTCCCTGAAGACGAAAAGATGTTGTCACGGTTTCAAGGCGCTGAGGACATACATCAATACATCCAGATTGACGCGCTCATCATTCAAGCTGATGATGCACGGGCTGTCGCCGGTCAACCTGATTACTGTGAGTTGATATTTGATTTCAGACACCTGTCACGCCTGAGGCGTTCCCCATTGCGTCATTCGACGTATTGTTGAGTTCCCTTCGAAAGGGAATCTGCTATTTCCTTCCTTCTTTCATCAGTCATTTTCAGTGCTTGTGATGTGTGTGAGAAAATATATGTAATTTGAATTACAACAACAGATGTCTGACTTTCTAATTTATGAAAACACTGATCTGAGGTAAAACGCAGCGTGTGCAAATTTGGGTTGAGGTATGTGGTGTGATCTCCAGCACTGGTTACGGTGATCTCCAGCACTGGTTACAGACTCACACTTTTTTACAGACAGATAAAAGTCCATGTTTTAATGAACAAACAGCTCCTCATTTCCATTAACATACATATTCATTCAGAGTTGATCTTTTCAATAAAGTATCTCTATTTTTTTATTTCAAATTCAGACAACACAACCCCAGAATTAAATTACACAGACAGTGAATTTAAAAATAAGTATAGTACAGAAAAGTATGAATATCTGTTTAGAATATCTTTAATCAACAACTTAGCGTCATTGTTCTCCATTAACGTGTGTGCTCTCATTCTGTCGCGGTCTGGCTCTGATCTGTACAGTGTCATTGAGAGAATGACGTTCAGATGAGACTACTCTGTGCTACTTCCTGTGTGTGACCTCTATCGTAACCGAGAGAATTCAGTCAGGGAAGGGAAGGAGAGTTTTTGCCACAGTCTGCCTCGATTGCAAGCAGACGTCTGTGTGCTGCCTGAAGATCAGAATCGCAGGGGAAGTTTAATAACGTCTAAATCCTCAGACTGAGGCGGACAATCTTAAATCTCAAGGTTACTCCAGACATGGTCACTGTTATAGTACATCGTTCAATAGTACAAAACAATACTTGATATGGCACATGGCTATCCAAAAGAAAAGGATAATACTGTCTTACCAAGGAAAAGATGGAAAGCGCATACGTCTATGATTGAAAGGGGGCAAATATTGCAAAAATGTGTCATACGTTTGTCCCCCCTTTTGACATTGTCTTTTTTCCTCATTTCTGCTCTCCCATTAGGTCTGTGTTGTTGCTAGACTGAGGTGGCGGTAAAGTGCAGCCTTTTGCCGGTGGGGAGTGTCCTATCCGGCATGGGCTCGGCCCGCCTCCGCCTTCACTGTCTGTATTGGAGGATGAGTGAGGAGGGGGCGGAGCCAGGCGAGGCAGAGGGGCCGAGGAGGGAGGAATTCGTGTACAAGAGGTTGTGCGGAGACTCTGGATACGCCGGCACTCCTGGCAAATGCGCACATGAGTGCAGCCCCGCGGCAGAGGCACTGTCACTGCGGGCGGTCCCAGGGCCACTGGGGGGGTGCTGTTGGCACCTAATGGGTCCTCCAGGAGTCGCTGGGGCCCAGGACCCATGTCTGAGGGGCCTCCTCCTGACCCTGAGCTTCCTGTCAGGGGTCCCGTACCGCTATAGAGCTTTCCGTTGCTAAGGCGCATCTCTCTGACAAGTCGCAGGGGTCGCGGGGCACCTAAAGTGATGCGGGTGGGGTGCCGAAGGGCCAGAGAGCTGGACAGGGGGCGGCGGCGGCGAAGGCGAGAACTTTTCTTGCAGGAAACAGCGTTACGGAATTCTGTCAACATCTCCTGACATACGGACACCTGAATGTTAAAAATATATATTAAAGGCTTTAACAAAAGAAGATTAATATATATCACAGAGGTTTATATCACATATATACATGTACATATATACTCTGTTGGTCAAAAGTTTGGAATAATTAAGATTTTTAATGTTTTTGAAATAGCACTCTTTACTCACCCTGATGGAATTTATTTTATCAAAAATAAGTTGTGAAATATTATTACAATTAAAAATTGCTGTTTTCTATTTTAATATATTTTCAAATGTAGATGTAAAATGCTGGATTTTCAGAATCATTACTTTGTCATTGGTCTTCAGTATCACACAATCATTTATTGTCATATGATCCACAAGAAACGATTCTTATCACTTATTATCAATATTGAAAAGAGTTGTGCCTGTTTTGTGGAAACCATAATACACTACTATTTAAAAAATTTTGGTGAGTGAGATTTTTTTGTTTAATTAATCTTTTGAACTTTCTACTCATTAAAAAATCCTGAGGAAATATATCATATTTTTCACTAAATATTTATCAGCAAAAACTGATGACAATAAGAAATGTTTATGAAAATCCAGCATTGTCATCACATGACAAAATGTTTTAAAAAAGAAAAGAAAACTATTATTTAAAATTGTAATAATATTTAACATTATTACTGTTGATGGTGCTGGTGCATTTTGATTAAAAAATGCCTTGTTAAGCATAAGAGACTACTTTCAAAAACATTAAAAAAACTTAATTATTTCAACATTTTTGTCTGACAGTGCACATAAATATCACAGAACTATATATTGCACAAGTAGACATGCACACCGTGACAACCACTGACTTCGACTTCACTACTACAACACTCACTAACGTGAGGAGTCGGCGGGTTTCTTTGGTAACCTACTGTAGTGTGACTGTGATATTGGCGGTCGCAGGAGAGAGGCCGTACCTCTTCTGTTTCAGCTGATCGGCGTGTGGACCACACAAACTCCATCACAGCCACAAACACAGCAATAATCAGGCCACAGATTAACACCACAAATATACCACCAATGTTCTCCATCCCAAGACCTGAAACAGATGCAGATTGTTTAAAAGTGTGTAATTCACTATGACAATCTTTCATCACAGACAGAAATATTACATTTACTTACATTCTTTAAGTCGTAACTGAGTGGAAATTCACTCTATTTTCGAAATACATTTATTAATTGTGCTTATTGTGAATGATTAATCTATGCATTTAATTTGTTTTAAAATTAAAATAATGTTTTATTAAAATGTCACTTGATATTCTGAAAATGAGACCTCTCCCTGGTCGGCAGACTTCTCCAAACATTTAGTCCGTTTAAACGCCGCCTTTTTCACACAGTTGACTTTAAGCTCTAATCAGCAGCCAATCAAGTGCCTGCTCTACTTTTTTTTTTTCAACCCGTCACTTGGATGTACGTCAAAATATGGAAGAAAAGAACTGTCTATACTTCCATTTCATCGCAACTTTAAACACACACAAGACTGCTTGCATTTGACAGCTACAGTGTGTGAAACCCTGCCCCCTGTGTTTTTGAACATGGTAGCTGGTTTCTAGCAGGTTATGAGCTGGTTCATGCTCATATTGGACCAGAAACAAACTAGCTCCCTGCAATGTAGCTTTTTGACCAATTAACATGTTCTGAACACAGTTATGGTTCCAAATGTATATTTCAGCAGGGATGAGACAGAGGGGAAATTATTGCTTTGAGGTGCAGAAAAGAGGTTCATGCCTTTGGCACGGTGGTCTTCCTCTTTGGGACACTGCCCTCCCTCCCACCATCTTCTCTTCAGGATCTCCAGCCTGTTATTCTCCTGCAACTGCAGCACTGCCAGACTTATCTCATCTCTGAAAGGAGAACCTAAGAGACGGAATAATAAACATGTCTAGCATGAGGAAGTCCCAATAAGTTATTCACATCATGAAACATCTAAAAACAAGTCTCAAATGAGTTTACATGATTAATGTTCGATTAATTTATTAGTGACCTAGAAATAGTGCAGAATCTTAAATATTTCTTCATCATTGCTTACATAATTACTGGTATTTGCTGTGAGCAGTCTGCAGTGCACTTTCGGAAAGAATCTGAAATCACCCTCTGTGATAAGTGAACACTCTTTTACTCCATTTCTCTGTGTATATTGCATGGTTTGCTTATTAAATGAGAAATCATACCAGTAAAATCTAACAGTTTTGTTTTAACAGTCTTTACGAAGCATACAATGTCATGTATGCTACATGTGCAGCAGCAGAGCAGAATGTCTTACATGCTCACAGCAATGTCTGTAAATGTATTGGCAGAAGCAAGTCTTGGTATTTGCAGATCTATTCCGCCATGACCAAATACATTAACATTGCCATATCCATTACCATACCTCTCTGAGAGTTGCCATGGCAGAAATATGTAGACGTATATATGTATAAATACAGATCAGTATCGAAATTATTCAACCACCATCGCAAATCAGGTTCAATGGAAAAATGTACAGACTTTTAGTTGTTTGCAATGCAACTTTTAATGACTTCAGCAGTCTCAAAATTATTAAATCCCCTGAATAGAATCTCTCAAAACAGCACAAATCTGCTAAACAGGTGTTGTCTCATGCACACCTGATGCAACTAATCAAAGGAATCATTAGTTGCACCAGGTGTGCTTGAGCTAAAACACATGAAATATCTAAACTGACTAGGTTTGTCACGTTTGACTGCATGTTAGAAATACGGCCGAGTCAAAAGCATGGTCCAAAAAGTTAAGAGAAGATGTTTCCTTCACAAACAAGGAACATGGTGTTTTTTTTATGGTGTTATGGTTTCAAAATTCCATGAATCACAGTGCTGCTACATTGCATGTGAGGCTTATCGTTAATGTGTATTTTTATCTTTCAATATGACTAATTGATGGATACTCTCTCTTACCAAGAGGCATGCCAATGCCATAACCCTTGGTGTCTAGCAGGCCTCCGATCTGGGTGAGGTTGCAGTTGAGGCTGCGGTGGTACTCGTTCATGGTGCTCTCAAGGAGGAAGGCATATTTCGAGTTCAAGACTCGTGCAATGCCCTCCTCTGTGCTCTTCACAAAGACACTGGGCTGCTTAGAATACATGTAGTTCCACATCCGCTGATACGTTTGATAACGGGAGTTCTGAGAGAGAGGAGGAGAAGATGTTTCATCAGTGTAAACATCATAAATAAACATTTAAACTCTATTTGACATGCACAATAACAAACAGAAAGAAAACAGTGATGCACACACAGATGGTAAAAACATTTGAGCAAACAAAAACCTGATAAGAAAATACACAGTCATTACGCCAAGGGTAATCTACATGAAAAACCAACAAGGAAATAAACAAGAGACACAAAACGCATTCATACACGTATGCAAATATATGCCTGCTGGCACTTTCCATGAATATGATACAAAATAGAGTCTAAAAATATTTGAAGACAGTTTTTCCCTTTTCAACAGATGTTCAGTGAAACGAGATCTCAAATCTCATGTTTTTTTTGCTGATACTTATTAGATAAATGTGTATCCCACACAAAATATTTTGGAGAAAACTGAAGATTTAATTTAGGCTAATTTTGCAACTTTATGGACTAGTACATTTTTACATATATATTTTTTAAATGTTATAAATTTAAAACGATAAAAAACTATAAATTTAAAAATTATAAATATTGTCAATTTTATTTTTTAATTACATCAATAAAGATGTTTTGAAGTTGGCAATTAAAATACACCCTATTTATTTCTTAGAAAAAAAACTGCTTGTTATTGATCTTGGTGCGAATGATTCATCCACGCATCTACGTATTTCAGGAGAGTTTCCTCCGAGGAGGCAAGGGAGGCAGTGCCTCCTTAAAAAATTGGAAAATAATAAAACACAAAAATAGAAATAAAACAATGAAAAAATATTACAAAATGTGACATAAAAAGTATAAATTACACATTTTTCTAAAGTAACACACCAGCAGGTACAGCGGGGCACCGTGTCTTTCTTGCCTCCCCTAAGTCCATTGAGTTTTAACAGACCCCCTAAAAGCATGCACTGGGTTTGGTGAGGGGTAATTAAGAATAAAAAATTGGCAAAGTCATGTGGGAGGAGGCAATGCTTGCATCTCATTATGATTGGATATGATTGGTTTGTGCAATAAATTCTGCCACTTGTTTTCAAGCAGATTCATGAATCAGTCTGAAGGAATAAAATTATAGCATTAATGGAAGGACTAGTTAAAAAGTAAGCAAAATCTCAGCCACTTAGATATCATCTCTTTAGTCACTTCAAAATCAAACTTGTAATGGCCTTGAGCAATCAGCTTGGGGAAATTAAAGGTAAATTTTTGTGTCTGTGACCAGAGTTTATCGAGCTTGATGACTGATGAAAATAAGTTGATTAAAAAGAACAAATTAAATACATTGTTTTAAATTGTTAATGCCTTTAGTTATTATTTTGGAATAAATGTAAAAAGGTGTAAAAACAACAAGTTAATGAGATTTACACTTGTGTATAATTCACATGTGAATGAACATTTACATGTGCAAGCCAGCATGTGTTCATATTTCTGTCCCTATACATGTGTATACACTATACATTAGTATCATATGATTTGTACCATAAAAAAGGTCATGGTGCTTCCTCCATGAATGGTGCCGTATTGTATATTGGTTTGATCGGCCAGGTCATCGGGAGATTCAATTGGCACTTCCATTCTCTGCACTGTCAGAAAAGCAGCCAGATTCGCTGTGTATGAGGAGATTATTATAAGAGTGAATGCCCACCTAAAAGAGAGAGAGGACATAAATGATGGAAGCAGAGTGCAAAAAGCCCATAACTGTGCTGTGTAATGTGTCCATTGACTCTGTTAAAATGAACATCAACACATATGGAGCCCCAGCACACGCTCAAACTCACCAAACCCCACTAACACAGCGTGTGGATAGGGCTCGGGGCATGATCTCTGACCCCTGCTGCATGAAGCCCCCGACAGGAAACCACAGGCTGTTTCCGAGCGTGTACTGATTTTCCAGCAGGTCTTTGCGCTCACGCAGACACGGGTGAGGGTTATACCATTCATACGGACTCAACCTGACACAAGTACACACACACACACACACACACAGGGAGAGAGAAATCTAGCATGGAGCATTAAATATTTATTTCTTCACTATACTATAAAGGGTAAGATATTTTTACTGGAAAATAAGACAAACACACTGATTACACACTGACACACTGGTCCATAATTTTTAGAAGTTTTAGAGAATGTTGGTGTGTGTTTGTGTGTACCTAGCAGAAAGAAAAAGCACACAGCTGACAGCAAGGTAAGCCAGCAGCATGAAGAGCCAAACAGCCGGTGAGAAGGGATCCAGGAAGGAGAAATAACCTGGCTTCCTGCCCTGAGAGACAGTGAAAGAGAAAGAGAGGTAAATTAATGCAACTGAAGGAAGGAAAGCGGCAGCAATAAAAGCCAAAAGGGATTAGGTCCACTATGAATTTTCAATCTATTAATTACAATAATTAAGTAAATGGAGTAAGTAAAGTAAATTGCATATTTAGGCATGTAGACACATTATCTATCTTTCTATCTATCTATCTATCTATCTACATCTATCTATCTATCTATCCATCCATCCATCCATCCATCCATCCATCCATCCATCCATCCATCCATCTATCTATCTATCTATCTATCTATCTATCTATCTATCTATCTATCTATCTATCTATCTATCTATCTATCTATCTATCTAGCTATCTATCTAACTAGCTAGCTAAGTTATCCAGATGATACACTCTATATACTGGCTGTTGTCATTCAGGACAGGACAAGCAGAGCATTTCACATCAAATTTCAAGCTATTTGGACCAATGTGTATCATCTCATCCTATCAGTTCATTCAAATGCTTTAATGTTGCATTTTTTACTCCAGACGCAAGATGGCGCTATTGATCAAAACGGCAAAACAGAGTTGCCAGAAATGGATTTTTAATACTCTTTCATCGAAAGCAGAACGGTTTAGTGTTTACCAAGTAAAATATCCAATATTTCACTAGCCAGTTTTCCGTTTGAATGAGTGTGGGTCAGGTTTTGCTTTAAAATAATTGGTCTCTCTACACTGTAAAAAATATTGTTGGTTTAACTTAAAAAAGTAATTAACCTGGTTGCCTTAAAATATTAAGTTGATTAAACTGGAAACAGTGAGTTAATACAATGAAGGAGATTCATTTAATCATCAGAAACTCAAAATAATAAGTTCTCAACTAAATATAAATTATTTAAGTTGATTTGACAAAAAGAAAAAATGTTGTGATATCAAATCTTGAAAATATTTTTTTTACAGTGTAAGGGTATTAAAACCTGAAATCAGTCAACAATTATGAGTTCAATTCCAAATAAAAAAAATATATGTTTTTGTGTTGTTTTATTAGTAGAATACGTAAACTGATGCCACTGTGTTGATTCTCTCTCTCTCTCTCTAAGTGTGTGACTTACTATATGGACCCTGTAGAGAATACTGATGCCCAGGGTCATAAATGGTTTTGAGAAGTCAATGACCTTCTCTCTCTCAGATGTTATGGTAAAAGAAGCTACAGCCATATCAGCTTTCTGTTATAAAGAAAAAAAAAAGAAAGAAAGAGAGCAATAAAACATTGTATAAGCACAACAGAAATGTCATCAAGACACAGTAAGGAAAGTGACATGGAACTGAATTGAATGCAACCGTGTGAAAATACTTGTTATTTCAGTAGAGAACAAGTTTATGAATGCGACTACAGTACATACCCTGTTGATCAGCTCTCCCACCATGCCTGTCCACGAGCCGTTGGGTTCAGGTGCCCCATATAGGCCATCGTCCACCAGTTTGATGCGGAAATTGAACTTGAGGATACCAGCTAGCTCTCTCAACATGTCCACACAAAAACCCTCATACTGATCGTTCCCCTCAAACTCTTGGTAATTCACCTTTCTCATCATGTATGGGTTCTCCTGCACACACAAACACACACATTTCAATATGCAGTACAAGTTCATGGCCCCAACACTTTCATCTTACTGTATTGGATTAAAATATTACACTCAATTTTTTTTTTTAAATTCTTTTATCACAATATCAAAATTAAGAAAACAGCAGCAAATGTCACAACTTTGGATGGAGCAGATGTTGCTTTACCTTTGCCATGTCTTCAGGTGGCGCACACTAACTTCTAACATGAAACACATTATTAAGAAATATTCCAGTACCTCATTTTTGTCCCTTCTCTAATCAATATGTTTCAGCCAAAAAATAAATAAATAAATAAAACCTCTTGGGAATATTGTGTAATTGGTAATCAATATAAAGGATTTTCCTGTGTATAGGTTTTTCCCCTTTTTATTGTTAAATAATTTTTAATACCACTTGAATAAAAATAACTAACAAACAAATTTTGATAGTTATTTTTAGTAACTAAAGCCAGTCCTTTAATGACTGGAAGTGACAAGAAGTGAGATTATTTCTGATGGGAACACAACAGCACAAATATAAGCAAATTTTAGTGAGGGATTTGATTTATTCTGTGATGTTTTGTTGTGTTAGTTTGTTTGTTTCACACTTTAAAACACACCATTATGTTAGATAAAATTACACGAATTGATGTCTATATTTTGAAATATCTTTTGATTCATTTTGTTAAAGCTGCAGTCTGGCGGTTTTCCTCTTTGTCGCCATCTCTGTTTGAAATCTGCAATTGCAGTCATTCTCGGAATTATCAACTTTTAGCGAGTTGTACTTCAACATCCTCGACAGGGATGAACACAATGGTTGAGGAGACTGTGAGGCACCGTGGCGGTGTGGATACTGGCATTCAGAATCACAAATTATTCTTTTTGAATCAAACAATCATTCGAATTTGAATTCTAATTATCATATCACACAAAATTGTGCAAATTATACTTTGTTCTCAAATTGTTAATGTTAACAAGTAAGCAAGAATTGCATGCGTAACTACATCTACTTCCGATATGTATCCTTGTTTTCGCATGGGTCCGGTTGCAGTCTCTCTTCTTCTGTAGTCACTTCGAAGTCCAAACAAAGTCTTTTGCATTTTACAGTTGGTGAATCTGTTGTCACTGATGATTGTCGTTTGAACCTTTCTGGATCCGCCATCAAATTGCTAAGTTTAATTATATCAAGTGCTGTGAGAAAAAGCTATAAATCTCCATCTCCAACATTCTCACACGCAATATAGCTGATACAAGCCGAGACTCCTTCTTTATGTGTACTGTGACGTAATGACGCAATGATACACTGGCTTGACACACTGTTTTGAACACTAGCTGGTTATATATTTTCTCAAATATGTATTTTGGATCATTTTTAACAAAAAAAAAAGCTACGGACTGCAGCTTTAAAATGAAATGATCATTTAAGCTTTAATGATCTGTGAATTCATCACTTAGTACTTCTTTCTATCTAGATAGACATGCAATAAACTGTCTTTTTGTTGTGTAATAAATTAATTAAGAGCTTAAGTTTTAGGACAGGAATTACTGATGTAGATGTGGTAAGATTCCTGTGAACATAAGCTGTGGTGCAGTTGGTTCTCACCAGTATGGTGGTGATGATGAGGCTCTTGTTAGCCAGTGTCTCAGAGACGTTGATGTCCAGACTGGTGGAGTTCATCATCAGAGTGTTATTAGAGTACCAGATCCCAATCTAACACAGAGATGGTTCAGAAATGAAGCAAGCAAAACAACGATGGTGGCACTATTTGAAATATGTGTGTCTGTTTCCTGTGTGTGTGTGTTTTTTTTACAAATTGTGAAAACGCAGAAATGTTTCTGTTTGGATTAAGGCCAACATATACTTTGGACATCCGCGTACCATGTGACGTAATTTTCATCATCAGGGGGGTCCGCGGATGTCCTCACAACCCGTCCGTGTAGCCCATTTTTTGTGACCACACGGACGTTGTATGTAAAACAGCGCATGTGCGAGTAACTCGAGTGATTCCATGCTCACGGCCAAAGGAGAATACTTTGAAAGGCTTGCACGTTCAACTGTGCGGAAGACGTAGTGGAACGCGGAAAATTAAGTAGACCCGGGCCTTTAGGGTTACTGTATTTAAAAACAGTAGAAGTCTATGGAATGTCCCCAATTAGATGTCTAAGTAAATGTGTATGTATGTGCCTTTAACCTCTTTGTGGCCTGCCCTGTGCTTCTCCAGGATATGGAGGGTGTAATTGGTCCTCTGGCCTTTACTGTTGAACTCAACTCGACCTGTCAAGCCATCATACTCCACCTGATCAAAACATTAGAGAGAAAGAGAGAGAGAATAGAAGGAGCTATGTTACTTTTAATAACACAATGGGTGCTCTCTGAGCAGAAAACATTCCTGGAGGACTTTCAAGTAGAATTGAATTTACCAATACACACACACACACACACACTGACCATACGCAGGTAGTTCATGAGGCTGGTTCCGTGTTGCCAGATCTGAGGGGAGGTGCAGCTAAGAGGTTTGATGCCAATCTCCTGACTCCGGTTGAGTTCCTGCACTGCACTCACCACCACATGGACCGCATCAAACAGCAGGGCCGACGACAGCTAACACACAGACACAGAGGTTAGGGTGAGCATTCTGTGTGTTATACATTGATAGTTTTTTGTCTTACCGCTGGTCCGGGGTATGGGTTAATGTCACAGCCCTCTCTCCAGGACAGATTTAGGCTCCTGATAAACTCCAGGTAAAATGGGTGGGTGGTGTTAAACATTGAGAAGCCCACGATGTTTGACTGCTCATCCACTATATCATCCAACCACAGCAAAGGAAAGTCCTGCACACACACAGGAATGACAAGCGGGAACACTTTAGTGTGTGTATTAGACATTTCATAGAACAATTAGGTTTATTTTTATATATATATATATATATATAGAGAGAGAGAGAGAGAGAGAGAGAGAGAGCTCTGATCAGAATAGTGAATAGTACTGGATATTTGGTATTTGAGTGGATGAGAATGGTGAAGAGGTGGATTTGCAATAGCCTCCTATTTTAAAATATAACGAACGGGGATAGTAAGTAACAGTGTTAATTACTTAATAAACTTCTGATGTTTACGTTTTACGTGTCCTAAAAAAGTCACATAAACCATGTGAAATACGATCTGAGCAGTCAGGCTGAAGTGGATTTACAGAAAAGGGATTTAAATAGGATTAAAAAAAAACATGAATGTAGCTCGAAACAATTAAAAAAAATTTCATGTGATTTAATGTGTCCGTTTACACAAGCTAAATCTGATATGCACAAAAATCGCATTTGGACTGACAGTCTGAACGTATCCTAAAGGTTTCGGAAATGCCTGCAAGGTTTGAGTAACGAAAAGAAAGATACTTCAAGTTCATTTTATGAAGTATTCTTAAGTAATGTTCAAGTATATTTTTAAGTATACATTTAGCAAGTATACTAATTTCAATATGTACTAGTAGTAGATGTGTACTATTTTATTACCGCTTGGGACTAAATTGGCCCACTTTTAGTATATAAAAGTATACATTTAAGTGTACTATAAGTGTAACAGTAGTAAACTTTAAGTGCACAACTGTTTCATAATTCTCATTTGTACTGCAAGTGAACTTGTGGGTATACTAGTTTGCTTTTTTAATACTTATGGAGAATGTTTATGTTTAGTTTATGAAAGTACACTTTGAATTGGTAAACTATAAGTATAATGTTGTTCACTTAAAGAAAACTTTCAGTAAACTACTAGTTCAGTAGTTACTGATATTATTCTAAATATCAGAAAATTGGCTGAATGGATTCGAAAACGGTAAAACCCAAATGTTTAACCCTGAGGTTGTTGTAAAATGAGCCTATAATTCCCCCCCAAAAAAGTGGAGTATCCCTTTAAAAGAAGTATACTATATTACACTTGAATAAACTTCTTTTTCGTAAGGGTACACTAGTAGACTAGCATAGTGGAAAAAGTATCTGCAGTGTGTTCTACACCGCTGGCACTAGTTGGACCCCCGTTGGCATCTTTTTAGATGATTGAGCATGTTGAATTTGCGGCGGAGTCCTTCGATGAGAGAAACCACTCTGGCTGGCTTTTCAGCTTTGTGAACCAGTGCTCGAGGAGAAAAACAGAAGTAATGAAATCAAGCAAACGACAAAGCTGTTTACGGTTTGTATATCTGCAGTCCTAGATCCTTCCCTTTTTGAATGATGAATACAGAATACTTCTACATTTTGGTATAAAGAGTTATTTCCTCTAATGAAAACAGAACGTTTGTGCTCATTGGCCCTTGGCTGTTTTTGCAATGCGTTCAAGCGCAAGTTTTGACCCAGACGCCGCTTTCATCTATACTAGTTTTTTGATGTCAGTTTGGTGTGGCCTTTAGATTCGAGTGATAAGTTAGACTACTGACTAGCGTTTTTAGTAGCGTATATGGTTCAGTGAAGTGTTCGATTAGACCAGCCTTTCTCAAACTTTTTTCAGTCAGGGCACCTTTCAAAAGTGCATAAAATCTCAAGGCACCCCAGTGTAAAATATAATTTAAAAACACTGCATAACCCAAATTTAAATGCAAATGTCTTGTTTAGTTAGACAGAACAGTAATGAACAGAGCATAATATGAACTGTAAATAACAATAATAATAAAACGTTATAGCACCTTTAAAAACACAGGTTTGCAAAGTAATTCACAAAATAATTAATCAGAGACACAAATGCCATAAAACCGTAGAGGTGGACCGCCCAATACAAGAACCCAATAACAAATCCAGACCAGGAGAACTCAAATGAAGTGCAGGATGCAGATAAAATAAAATAAAAATCCCCGGCTCTTATGGGGATTTTCTTTTCAAAAAACGATCCATAATGCTGTAACTAAAGTGGCCTAAATTCACGTTTATTTTTACGTTTCTGTCAGTCTGAGGTGTTGCTATAACGCGTTGCTATGGATTGCGTCACTTGCGTCAAGTTGTGTGCGTCTTGCTTCGGTCTTGTGAGACGGATTTTTTTATGATTAATTTTATATATTTATCTAAAATGAATTTACAATGTCATTAATATGTTCATATGTTTAAAAAGAAGAATGTAAATATGTAAATTCAAATATATTTATATATGAAATGTCAGCTGTTTTTTTTCTGTTTTTTTTTCACATTTTTTTTAGCCTACATAATTTTTTGGCGGCACCCCTGACACAGCTAGGGGGCACCCCAGTGTGCCGCGGGACCCACTTTGAGAAAGGCTGGATTAGACTAGAAACTAGAGTTTTCAGTAGGGCATAAGGTGAAGATGACATGATTTAATGAGTTGACGGATTTCACAGAAAATCACAGTGTATGATAAGCACAGACTCAGACCTATTTTCAGCCAATTTAAAAACATTTTCATTTGTCTCCAAGCAACAAGGCACATGCATCTGTGTGTGTTATCCAGCGTATCCATCAGAACGACTTAAAAGTCTGGTAGTTTGTGATCCTTAGTTATTAAATATATAATGTCCAGCTTTTTTTCCCGTAAACATTAACAAAATCAGCAAGTGTATGATCCTTAGTGTTTTAAAATGTGTTCACAGTAGGTTAGACTAGTACTATATGTTTTAGTAGTGTAGAATAGGTGTGAGATGTGTTTGTAGGTTATACAGTAGAAAAGTATGTAATGCAGTTCAAGCTGTGAGGGGGCTGGCTTGAGAAGTGTGAGCGGATTTGCGTAATAAAGATGAATTGTTAATACAAAAGATAGGGCTCCAGGCATGAATATATCTACAAGAAAATAGGCCAAGAACTCCTCCTCTATCTTACCATAGTCGTGAGGATGTACTTGTAAAACGCAGATGTCATTCCCAACTCTGATGCCTAAAAAGACAGGCAAGAGGAAAGAGACCATTAAAAAATGTCAGTATGTAAAAAGCAGAACATTTTTTGTGCTCATTAAGGAGAATTATGATATTTATAGTGTCTATCTTTACATTAAAATGCAGGTATATTGAACAAAGCTGGATTGCAAGGTGAGCGATTGAGGTGGGCGAAGACGAGAGAATGAATGAATGTGAAATGAGCCAAAGCAACGTTCATTTAGATAATGTAACTGTATGCTTACCTTTTTCAGTATAAGGTAAGAAATAGATGCGTTGGCATCAATAATTATTGTGGCTATTTTGTCATCACGAATCTCCTTCAGTAAAGGCGTGGGGTCAAGGTTGTCATCCAGCATCCTGATTGACAGCGTCTCTCGAGAGATCAGAAAACGCCTTATCAGCTCTTCCAGTCTCAACAGACCTGCGGGGAAGAAAGCGAGCTGTTGGCCCGGAAGCATATAGACACACAAACACCCCCACTGGAATTAAGGGCCAAATCCGGCTCCATGTAGTGTACCTGATATGGTTTGTGTCTGAGGTTGTTTGTGAACAGCATGCATCTGTCCGTTTGCAACGCTACTGTGAAGTCGGTGGCAACACAAAGCCCAGTGAAAATGTAAATAACTAGCTGCGCTCTCAAGGGAGCCTGCATGCACAGAAAGAGCCAGTAAAGCCAGTGCCAAACTTTAATTAGCTTGAGGGAGGAGAGAAATCAATGCTCTCCACACTCTCATTCTCTCGCTCCCAATACCTACCCTTCTTCTGTCTTTCCTTCACTGATTTCTCTCGCTCATTCTGATTTTCGCCCTTTCTGTTCACTTCATTCCTCTAAATTTGTCTCTTTCTCGATATTCCCACAGCTGCATTATAAAGTGCAGATCTCAGATCTTCTGTTTGTTTTCCACCAGAGACCAGTGCTGTGACACTCTGAAACAAACATTATCAGACCCAGACCAGCCTTGTGCTTAATGACTCGTGTGTGACAGTGACTAGAGCTCAGTTCCAAAACCTAGCGAGCTGCCAGAATTGTAGGACATCAAAGGCATTTTCCCAATGCAAAACCTGTTCTAAACGGTAGCCATTTCATTATGAGATGCCTAAATTCTATGGAAACAAAAAAGGAAATCCCACAATTGTACTGAGCACAGTGAAGATATCCAAAATAGAGGTTTCATTAATGGGTAAAACTTTACAAAAAAGTTAATTGGTAACATTATTTAACTACCTAGTAAGCATGAACTAATAATGAACTGCACATGTACAGGATTTATTCATCTTTGTTAATATTATTTCCAACATTTACTATATGTTATTTAAATCAAAGGTTATATTTGTTAACATTGCTGTGAACTAAAATGAACAATGAACAGCTGTATTATTAATAACTAACATTAACAAAGATTAATAAATACAATAACAAATGTATTCCTCAATGTTAGTACATGTTAGTTAATACAATAACTAATGTTAACTAATGAACCTTATTGTAAAGTGTTACCCATTCATGTGCTTTAGTGAATAAATCAATCCACGATGGCGTGACAATGGTATGACAATGCAAGATAGTTGATTATATATACATAAAAATAACTGAAAGTGATAATGAAAATAGGGTTTCACTTTATTTGGATGGTCCCTTCAACACATTCAGTAACATTGCACCTACATCTCTACTAACTCTCACTAGAGTGTAAGTAGAGTATTAGTAGACTGGTAGGGTTAGGGTTAGAATAAGTTAAAATACTGTAGTTGCAAAGTTACTTATAGTCAGTAATGTCTGTTGGAGGAGCATCACAATAAAGAGTTGGCAGATAATATTAAGCAGACAGTCTACTAATACTCTAATGAGAGTTAGTTGACATGTAGTTGCAAAGTCAACAGAATGTTCAAAAGGGACCATCAAAATAAAGTGTTACCGAAAATAGTTCTGTTTTATTAAACATTGATTATTTTAATGTAATATTTGTGTATACTATTTATCTTTATGCTCACTAAGATGTGATCACAATAGCTTTATCCAACTCAATTGAGCACATACGTTTTTAATGTGTTTTTTTAATGTTTTATGTACAAATTTACACACTTTTTGGCATTTCCATCCACCTATTTCTATGCGCATTTTGAGATGTTGGATAAAAAAATGCTGAATGGAAACGCCAAAATACGCATAAATTCTAAAAATGTGCATAAAACGCATCAATTGAGTTGGATAAATTGTGTATCCTCTAAGAAAATATGCAAATAAACTATGATGGAAACACATTACCAAATAAATTCCTTAGTGTGCATCAAAAAAGATATTTGAAATGCTATTTTGATGATCATCAAGTGTTTCAGTACAGTTACTTGCACTGTCTTACACGTCTGCGTTCCCAAACACATCCACTTTAGAAAGCAAGATAACTTTATAGCATTTTGTGTGAATGCTCTGAGGCGCAAGTAGTTTTTATAAAATATACATCATATTATAAACAGTGCCTTCTCATACTGCAGCAACTGGCATTTTTCTTAGTGATATTTGAAGTTAAATTCACAACTTTGGATGGAAATATAGCTAATGGCAAAATTTCGGTGAAATTTCACAGACAAAAAGAGCCATAGTCAAGTGTAGTGATGCTTCAAGCATTGCTCGTGTCTCAGAAGTCATTTTTAAACCAAGTGAGGGTGAAAGATTGAGTTATACTATATTTTGACATTCTAATGGGCAATAACGGGCAATAACTTTAAGTATTGCAACAACTTGCCAACTAACTCATTATGTATTCGAAGACTGTCTGCTCAATATCTGCTAACACTTCATTTGATGCTCCCCAACAGACATTCTACTGACTATACCTAACTTTGCCACTATATAACTAACTCTCACTAGAGTATTAGTAATCTCTTTGGTTAGGGTTAGAATAAGTTGACATGTAGTTGCAAAAGTTACTTATAGTAGAATGTCTGTTGGGGGACCATCAAAATGAAGTGTTAGCGAATTTATTTGGTAATGTGTTGTCATCATAGTTTATTTGCATATTTTCTTAGAGGATACACAATTTATCCAACTCAATTGATGCATTTTATGCACATTTTTAGAATTTATGCGTATTTTGGCGTTTCCATCCAGAATTTTTTTATCCAACATCTCAAAATGCGCATAGAAATAGGTGGATGAAAATGCCAAAAAGTGTGTAAATTTGTACAATAAAACATTAAAAAAAAACATCTTAAAAACATATGCGCTCAATTGAGTTGGATAAAGTTATTGTGATCACATCTTAGTAAGCATAAAGATAAATAGTATACACAAATATTACATTAAAATAATCAATGTTTAATAAAACAGAACTATTTTTGTTCCCTCACGCTTAGAGGCCTTTCACACAGTCTTTGTTTTTGCATTACACTTCACTACTTTTCAATTGTTTTTCGATGTGAACGTGAACTCACATGTTTAACCGCTGTGCTTGTGACTTGGCATCTCTCACATGACAAAGAGTTAAAAGTAGTTAAACTTTTAAAAAAACACCTCTCTATATCTTGCATTTTTTATTCCACTGCCCTGTGTCTCAGGTTTATTTAATGCAAAAGCATGTTACTTATGTAGAACGTAGACAAGTAAGACAGTAAGTTTTGGAGAGCTTACGGGTGCAGGAGACGAAAATCATGGTCAAATTCTGCTTTGATAAAGATTTAGACTGTGTTTACTCAGTTGTTTAGTTGTTCCTTTCATGCTTTTTCAGTCTGACAAGAGGACACCAGAGAAAAACAGTTTGTGGAATTAGACCTAAATTAAGTTTCCTAAATTAAGGCAATGAGGTTGACTACAAAATCCCAGTGCACAACACACATGAAAACATTTGTATCAAAACAGGCTTGCGAAATGGCTTTCTATCTGTTTAATGAGAATCTGTTGCGCAGCAGCGAGCCTCTCTCCATCTCTTGCCACCATTTTAAATGAGCTTGATGAGTGGCAAGTTGCACCTACTCTGCTGCCATAGCAACCATAGTGCAGCCAACTGGGTCAGAGCTGAGCGTTATGTAGCGATGCCCTCTCTGAACACATGAACGTCTAAATGCACAAACACACATGCACACACTCTGCGCAAGTGGCGGTGTCTCACACATTAACACACGCAGCAGGGTGGGGATTTATTCTCAGATAACGTTAACGTTATGTTGTCCAGTGGCATGCTGCGTAATTGCCCAGCAGTATGTTATATTGGCACAGCTACCTATTACAGCAAAGTAATTGTTAGTGCTTGCAGTAAGGAAGCACTGCAGTGTCATTTCGAGTCTTTTCTTGAGAACTTTTGTAGTCTTATCTTGCTCAGCCTAGAATACATATTGTAGCTTGAGCATTTGCTGAGAGAAGATGATTGATTGGGCAGAGGGAAATCAATTTAAATGTTCAGGTTTTTTAAAGCCAGTGGACATATTTGTTTTTGGATGAATGGGAAAAAAAACCTTTCTCTGGAGACTTCTAAATCTTAATTATAAGTATCACAATCGTTAAAATGTGTGTTGCTCTCCATGTGGAATAATTTTACATATTCAAGCTCGAAGGAAACCAGACAAGCTGATGAGCAGAGCAGAGGTTTTGGACTCACATTCGGCCTTAGCGCAGACCAGACTAGCCGATGGGTAGCTGAAGGAGCGTAGGATGGCTCCGATGGCAAGGCTCAGATCCTCGTTGCTAGGATACAGAGTCACAGACGCAAAGCGCAGGTAAGGAAGCCGCGGAGTCTCTTCCGGACCAATTTTGATATGCGGAATCTGAGAGAGAGCAGTTTAAAGAACAAAAGGGAAAAGATTATGGTTAATGAATTAACATGAAATAAATAAGCATGGAGTATTTAAATGAAGCTCACCTCCTTTTCCCCACAGATGTGACTGACGATGGAGCCCGAGGCAGGACTGGAGGCGGGGCCAATCACAGAGACCACACCTTTAGGCAGAATCTGGCACACTACGACAAAAATGTAGAGTATTATAAGGCCCCCTGAAATCAAAATGTTGTTTTTTTTAGCTTTTAGTATGAATATGTTAACCTTTAGGTTATGAATAAGCCGGTGTGTTCCAAAACATTTTTTCTCATTTTTTTTCCGCTAAAATGGATCACAGATTTTTATGACATCACCACAGACTTCAGCTTCTTATCACATCTTTTGTCCAATCAAATGCTCTCAAGAATATAAAGCGTCCCGCCTCCCTCTGCTATAAATACCATCTGGCCAAAGCAACCTTTGACATGGAGCAATATGGGTTGTTCAAACGCTCGAGTTTTATTCCATTTTCCAACTGTACGTTCGTTAAAAATGAAATGGCTAGAATTTATTCACACCTCTTCCATTGAATCCAACGTATCGTCAGTACTCGGATTCGCTTTCATTGTGCGGTCAAGCATGACTTGCAGTGTGTGAGGTCAAAAATGCTATTGGCTATTTGAAAAGGGAGAGGAGTCATTCAATATGTCCCACCTTAGCTTCCTGTTTCAATGGAAATTACGTCAACACATCATCCAAAGCAGGCATACACAACGTTCCAAGGCACTTTAGTGGGTCTTTAATTCCTCAAATCCGCTCTGTTTGCTGATGCTGTACTATTTCACTTTAAAGTTCTTTTTTTGTTAGTGTGCAGGCGTGTGTGTGTATTTTATGTATGACTCACTAGTATCTGTAGTCTCATACTGAGAGTCTTTCTGGAGTTCAAATATGTCGACCTCCGCACGAGCCGGGCCCTCCATTACACTGTTGATGTTCTCACGTGCTAACGCTAAAGCTAACCGCTCCCCACGCCCACAGACAGAGCTGTCATCCAAAATTGCCGCTAAAGAAGGAGAGAAGGAGAACAAGAAAGAGACAAAGTAGAGATAAATCAAGACAAGAATCGGTAAAAGTTATATAAATTTAACATATAACTTTCTAATTTAAAATTACTCCTTTAAAATAACCATCCACCATGTCCAATATTAATAATAAAGTCAATAATACAGTTTAATTATAATAATTCTGAATTTCATAGCATATCTAATGAAATAACTTTGGTTATTATCAGTGGTTCTCAGCTGATGGGCCATGGCTCCAAAATGTGTTGCAGGACTGTTCTTAATAGGTCACAGGTCAGCTGGAAAAATATTTAATGTAAATAATAAAATTAAACTAAACATGTACACTACTGTTCAGAGGCTTGGGGTCAATTTGTTTACAAAAATAATAATACTTTTATTCAGCAAGGAATACCTTTATTCATCAAAGAATCCCGAAAAAATGTATTTCCATAAAAATATTAAGCAGCACAGCTGTTTTAAACATTAACAACAATAAAAATGTTTCCTGAGCACCAAATCAGCATATTAGAATTATTTCTGAAGGATCATGTGAAGTCTGGAACAATGATGCTGAAAATTCAGCTTTGCCATCAAATAAATAAATTACACATTAAAATATATTAAAACATAAAACAATTATTTAAAATTGGAACAATATTTTACAATATTACAGTTTTTACTGTATTTTTTATCAAATAAATGTGGCTTTGGTGAGCATGAGAGACTCATTTCAAAAACATGAAAAAATCGTAGAGTACTTCCAATTCTTCCAACTTTCCAATCAACTCTATCTACAGGTATATAACAATATTTTGGTCCTCATCCTTGAAAACCATGAATAAAACCTACAATTTAAGGGACATTTCGAGAGCAAAATTTCCTATTCAACTGGTGTTAATATTTGTTTCCGCTTATGCAGTTAACAGTAATACGTTTGAAAGATTTTAATTAGGTTAAGTGCAATAAAATATTTTTACTTTGATGTCTATTAATTTTCCACATTAAATCTGGCTCTTAAAGCAAAACCATTTAAGAACCACTGGTTTAGAGATCTTTACAACCACAGTCAGATATTGAGCTTGTCGACCACATATTACAAGTCTAAATGTTTGGACTTACCCATCCGTACGGATGATAGAACAGGGGTCTGGCTCCGGGAAGAAGGCGGCATGGTAACCACGGTGACTAACAGGAAGCGGAAGTAAATCGACAGCAGGAGCGCTGGCAGTTCCGGCATCTTCTACCGCTCCTCATGGAGATGCCTTCTGCTGCCTATAGCACCCCCTAGATCAACACACAAATGAGATTTACTTTGTTTTATGTGAGCACTTACAAAAAAAAAAATCCTACTAACCCAATACAGTTCACAGCACACTCATTGACCTTTGTGACAACTTGCCCCGGTAGCTGGTAGATACAAAACAATTCATCAGGCAACAAAAATGTAAAGTAACATAAAAATATCAAACCATTGTTTTGGGCATGGTTTTGTTTCGACCTGACATTTATGAAACATTTCCTTGTTCTGAGAACACGGTTCAACCTTTGCCTGAATAATGAGTGGTTTTATGTTCACTTGTTTATCCAACACATATTCAAAAATTGTAAAGATATAATGAAACTGACATTTTAGTTTGAAGAATTGAATTCACAAAATTGTTAAACCAACGTTCAAAACTACTGTTAGGTAAACACGCATTTGTTTAATTTAGGACATTTAACTCAAAACCTTCTTCTTTAGGAGATACAGTATACATTGCTGTTTAAAAGTTTAAAGTCGGTTACATTTCATATGTTTTTGAAGGAAGTCTTGAAATAACTGTTTTCTATTTTAACATATTTTAAAATGTAATTTATTCCTATGATGGTGAAGCTGAATTTTCAGCATCATTACTCCAGTCTTCAGTCAACATGATCCTTCAGAAATCATTCTAATATGCTGACTGGTTGCTCAAGATACATCAATATTGAAAACAATTATCTTTTTTTTGAAAGTTCAAAAGAACAGCGATTATTGGAAATAGAAATCTTAATGTGCATTCTATTCTTGCGGAATACAATTCATTAATTGGAGTTGACAGTGTTGTGCAAAGCATCATCATGAATCAGGGAATCTTATGACAGTTTGCTGACGCAGGTCATGACCATGTCACGCACATCCCAAACAGCAGCACGGGGAAATCACAGGGACGTACTAACACCTGATGTATCAGATTCATACAATCCCACAACTCAAAGCAATCTCGGTGAACTCTGACCTTTTCACACCAAACAAGATTTATTTGACCACAGGGAAGAAATGATGGATGTACTTCTCCTCCCTCTTTCTTTGTTCATCTCTCCTCCCTGCTCTTTCTTTTCTTCTCTCAGTCACTTTGGATGTGTCAGCAGGGCACGAAAAGTGAGAAAGGGAGGAAATGAAATGAAACAGCGTGTGTGTATACACAGTTGAGGAACCCATTATTGCCGTACTATAATTATTGCAGGCAAATACTAATGACCAGTGTCGCAAATATAATTCTAAAGTTCACACCCGCTGTTTTGCATATGTGCATGGCTGAATAAAACGATACTTGGCAGTCAGCAAGTAAACTGTAAAATCTAAATTATTTAGGGGATAGGGTGGGAGCGCAAAAGAAAGAAGCGACCAGAAATGCAAAGAGGGGGACTGAAATAAAAAGCAGGGTAACGAAAGGAGAACAAAGAAGGAGAGAATGAAAGACAGAGAAAAAAGAGAGAATATGCTTGAAGAGGGAGCCCTCGGGTAAAGGGAGGAGTAGATAGCAGGCGCTTCATTTGTTTCTTCTTCATCTTTGTAAGTAAGAAGTGAATCTGACAGGTTTAATAATAGCACAGTGATTCATTCTCCTTAATTGATTTGGATTGTGAAATGAGAGTGCTGGATGCAAGCGTTGTCAGTGCCAGTTGATACAGACACATTAAGATGTCACCAGGCTTCTGTGAGACGAAGAGGAAGCATCGAGGAAGCCTGTTCCCTTCTTATCTTTGCCTTTTCCACTTGTGGAGAGATTCCAGAGAGGAGGCAGGAAAAGACACCCGCAATGTGTCCCTCCTGGCACTCCATGAGCCGAAAGCACAAGGGCTTAATAAAACCATCAAAAGCCCTCTTCATCAGGGTTCTGAAATCATGAGCGAACACAAACACACACTGGCGCGTTGAGGGACAATTCACTAAGAATGAATTGCACTCAATGAAGATGCCTTTTATTTGCACACGCTATCTGAGCCCCATTTACTGAAGTAGGCCGAAATATACAAATCAGGGAACACCACAAACAGACCCACAGCCCTCTCGTGGGTCGGTTCTGAGTGCTTGGTTGTGGAGGATGCAGCAAACTACTACAATCTGTCAGACTAAATGAATGTTTAAAATACTATAACATTTTAGGATATATACCTTTGTGGTACAAATAGGCACCCTTTAGGTGTAAATAAGGTATAGAGGTGTAGCCTACTTTTGAAAGGGTACTTCCGGGTACTTCCGGCGTTGAGTATGACTGAAAAAAGTCTCACATCTCCTATTTTGGGGCAAAATAGAAAAAAAAAATATTGCTCTCTATACCGCCACAATGGGATGTCAATCAGATACATGGCACTGGATAATTTACCTGCTATATTATCATATGTATACCATTCATTTAAAATATTACGGTATAGGGTACATGGTATATTACGACATATATTGCGACACCCCTAATTAACACAATAGTGTTATTTCTTTTTTTTTATATCAAGGTTATCACCAATACCGGTACCAATACCGGTATCGCGTCACCCCCATTTTTCACAAACACTTTTTTGTTATACTGGTTGTTAAAAGTGGTCTAAATAGACAAACAGACATTCACAAAGCAATGCAAACAAACAACAGCCACCTTTTACAGTTCTTCTTGAACCAAAACAACAAGCTTATGTTGCGTTCATGCCATGTCGTAACTACCATAATTAAAGGAATAGTTCACTTAAAAATGTCAATTCTGTCATCGTCATTAACTCACCCTAAAGTTGTTTCAAACATGTTTGAATATCTTTCTTCTGCTGAACACAAAAGAAGATATTTTGAAGAATGTTGGTAACCAGACAGTATTTATTTTCCTACTATGGAAGTCAGTGGGGTCCATCAGCTGTCTGGTTAACGACATTCTTCAAAATATCTTCTTTTTTCATTTTTAAGTGAACTATTCCTTTAAGAGATAGCAACCCGTGAGGTTCTATTTGGAGCTGTCATTAAACTCCAAAATAATGCCTTTTATGGAAACACTATCAATGCCGAAATTAATCTGCAGTGGTCAGGTGGTACAAGTCAGAGCTCTTTAAGTTGTTTACATTCATTAGCATTATAGTGTTATGTGCTTTGAGACATGAGGTCATTCAATGCCCTCTCTTATGACGCTTTGCACACTCTGCTCTGGCTGTGTGCGTTTTGGAGGAGTTGTAGCTTTTGGCTTTCTGCAATTTTCAATTACAGAGGTCATAAGATGCGTTTTCAGACTTTTATGTCATGTTCCTGGTGGGTTAGCTTAAAAATGATCACTTTTTTTGCAATTTAAAAAAATCTATTATCCATGTGTCATGATCGCCACTCTCAATCAAAAACTTCACTCCATCAAAAACACTTAGTTTCAAGGGGCATTTCCTTGAGTATCTTATAAACTCAAGAACACATCCTTGCTGAAATTGGTGAACTTCATTGTATCTATGTCCTCTTCCACAGCATGTGTGACATGTGTTTTGATGTTTGAGATGGCACTGTTATAAGCCCAAGTCAGAAGAAAATAAATCAATTTAACCCTTAATTTGCAAGTCTGTTTCAGCATTATAATTCCTCATTTGCTAAAATCTATTATCTAGGCCATGTATCGTTTAAAAAAAAAAAAACATTATTATAACTCGTCAGACTGCTATAATTAATTGATATCTGAAAAAATGGCCGCATGTTGAGAATAATTAAGAAAAGAATCTCGTTAAAGAATTCTTGTAAATCACAGGCATGCTGTTGTTGTTGCTGGTTTTTTTTAAAGACCTCATCCATGCATTTCTTAGACATTCTAATAGACATTTTGGACTTTTTGAAAGAGTATGAACAGTTTTTTGAGGTGTAGTTTGTCTACATCAGAACAACATCAGACATTCTTTCTTGACATCTTGCTCACAGCAGTATCACTCTTGTGATTGAGTTGTTAAGAGCACACCCCCCTGAAATTAAAACTTAGAAGATCAAAAAAGGTCATAAAGGCATCATAAAATGATATGTGTATAAAATGATATTCATTCGTAACATCATGACTTGGGCCATTTCAAATCCTGGCATTTCAGAAGGGTAGAAAACACAAATTAACTGAGGAGTTAGCTTTGAGGTATAGATTTTTATTGGTGTGAAACTTTGGCCCTCGAGATCCACAGTGGAGTTCAGCTTTAAACCTAAATCAACACACTTAAACAAGGTCTTCAGGATGACTAGACAGCTGACACTTGAGTGCACAGTTGGGCCTAAACTCTTCAGGAAAGTGGATCTCGAGGGCCAGAGTTGCCCAGCCCGGCGTCTATGAGTAAATATCAGACATTAAGTTTTTCCATTTCATGACACTTTAATATAAATATGGTGCAGTGCAATTTTAAGCACATTTGGCGCTTGGCTGAACTAAATTGGCAGATGGTTAGGAAATAAGATGTGGGTTTTTGCACTGAATATCCACTTTCGAAAGTGCCGTAACTTACTGAGTCTTCTCTCAATGGGCAAATCCGTCAGAAACGGCTTGTCTCTCCCTAATTCTCTCCATCTCTTCTTTTGTCAGTTGATTCAGTGATCTTTCAGTCTCCTCTGACAGTCTTTCAGCGGTGCTACGCTTTGAGCCTCTTACTTTGTCCTTAAGCCACCCTGGAACATACACACGCATGCTCCCGCTCACTTTTACAAAAAGAAAATCCACCAGCTTGACAGTAGATCCTTCCTTTTTTCTTGCCTCCTTGTGATCCTAGATGTCTCTTTGCATTTCCACCAAGCTCTCTCACACTTTCACGCAAACATTTGGGGGGGTATTCCCACAAGCTGTCCTTTTTGACAACATGGGTCACTGATGCTATTCACACATAACACACAAACACCAGTCCATGTATGTTTTGACAGATATGCTCTGCGACATTGACAAGGCCTGCCCTGAGGTGCAGCACAAACATCTGTGTCAAATCCAGATTCATCACAGACACACACGAGCACACGGATGAACGGATGGACGAGTGATCAGTCCATGCCTTGGACTTTG